ACCTCTCCAAAAAAAAAAAAAAAAAGTAAGAAAGTAAAAATAAAAAATTAAAAAATTAAAAATTAAAAAATGTCTACTGCTAAAACAAAACAAAACAAACCTTTGTTCTAGTTGGTGTAATTAGAAGAAACCTGAAGTTTTGCTGAGTTACCATCTGGAATCATATGTGATGACTACTTTGTATAGTTTATAATTCCCTATTCATCGTGGCATTTGTATTCATTCCATGAAAGAAAATCAATAAAAATGACAAAAGAGGGAGTCAGCAGGTAGTGTGGTGGCTGGGATGCCAGACTGCCCATATGGCCGACTGTAGTTTGAGTCCAGGGCCTGGCACCTTGAGAATCATGCCCAGGTACGTGTGCATAACATGGCCAAAATCCCAGGAAGAGAATGGAGGAGAAGGAACTGCAGCATGGCTCCTGGGGAGGGGTGATTTCTCACTTTCCCTCTCACTTTCTCTGTCTCTCTCTCTCTGAGAAGCATACTTGCCCTATAGCAAAAACAAACAAACAAACAAAAACAAAAACAACCGTAAAAAAAGACTCAATAAAAAATAGCCCTACGAGGGACCAGCAGTTAGCGTAATGGCTATGTCGCTGGACTCCCACGTAGTCGACCGCGGTTCAAGTCCTGGACCCAGTGGCTTAAACTCACACCGGGCGCGTGTGCGTGTGTGCCCAAGATCCCAAGAAGAGAATGGAGGAGAAGGGATTGCAGCGTGGCCATCCCCCCTTTGGGGGTGATTTCTGTCTCTCTGTCTCTCTGTCTGGCAAGCATACGCGCCCTATAACAAAAAACCTCTCCCCCCCCCAAAAAAAAAAGCCCTATGAGAAAGATAACCAACAATGTTCCAGTTACAAAACAAAACAAAACAAAACAAAACAAAAAGAAAAGAAAAGAAGGGTGACAGTTCCAGAGGAGATCTTGATATTGAGGGTTTACTACAAATTCAGGATGTAAGCCTTAAAAACTTCATAAATTTACCATATAAAACCTCCTTAACTATCTTATAAAAGTACCTTCAAAAGAATCCACCTTAAAAATTAATACAGGACTGGCCCATTGTCTGGTTGTTAAGGCAGCTAGATCCCACATGGCCAGCAACACACTTGGAGTCTCGGATCCAGTGGTTTGAAAGACACGGTGGGCATGTATGAATATGTGCCCAAAATCCCAAAAAAAAGGGACAAACAAAGGAGAAAGGATTGCAGCATGACTGTGTCCCCTGGGGAGTGCCTTCTCACTTTTCCCTTACCTCTGTATCCAACAAGCATTTGCACCTTTTGACAAATAAGAAAAATAAAACAAAAATAAAGAAATAGATATAAAACAAGGAGCACACCTCCTGATTGAGAGCATAACTAGAGATGGCTCCTATAAATCAAAATACTCTCGGCTATTCTATAAGAGGGAAAAGAGGCCACCTTACCTTCCTGGGACGCAATCTCCTGTGGCAAGTCATCAATAAAATCCAAGTGCATTTCTGCTGGTTCCTCAGGTCCCAGAAGATTGTGGTCCACAGTTAAACGACCTTTCTTTTCCTCTCTTTCTTTCAAAATCACCTAAAAGCCAATATACCAGTTCTTTAATTACTGACCACTCGGCTATGTTTTGAAAGATTATGATATCACTGCAACACGGGTATAGCAGTTCACTTACTTAACGTGGACATGAGCACTTAACTTGGCTATGTGTTTACTTGACTACACAGAAACTGACAACAAAAAAGGTAACTGTTGACTACAGGCACCGGGAGTTAAAGAGTTAAAGGAAGTAGAGTGTACAAAATAATGAGAGGCAATTATGCTATAGAATATATAGCTATCAAGCCACATTTGACTCATTCTTCAAATCCTGGGGAACAAGCTAATGTGTGTCCCAAAAAAAAGATAAATTTGAGTTTGGAAACCAGGTCATACAGTTACATTTGATTTATATTTTATAGTTTTCACGGATATGAACATGAATTATGTCATTCTGAGTCTCCTAATAAAATGTTTTTAGTTAAACCAAGCAGGCATGCCAGGCCAATCCCATGGCCTAGTGGTAAACAGAGCCAGAGCCCGCGTGACCGTGGTTTAAATCCAGGCCCCAATGGCACACAGTAGGCATGTGTGCATGTATGTAGATAGGCCAAAATCCCAATAGGATAGAGCAATGAAAGAGAAAGGACTATGGCATGACCACAGCCTACAGTGATGTACTTTCTCCCTCTCCCTGTCTCTGACATGTGCCAACAACTGAAAAAAGGAAAAAGCAGAGCTAGCAGGTGATGTGGTGGTTAAGGGGCTGGATTCCACGAGGCCGACCATGGTTCAAGTCCCCAACCCAGCAACTTGAAAATCACTCTGGGTATGTGTGGCTGTATGCCCAAAATCCTGAGAGGAGAGAGGAGGAGAAGGAATTGCAGTGTGGCCATATTCCCTGGGAGATGATTTTTTTGCTTTTTCTCTCTGGCAAATACATGTGCCCTATCGCAAAAATCTAAGGGGGAATAAAAGGCAAAGACAAAAAAAAAAAAAAAAAGTTCTGCCTAAAACCATATACTGCAAGCACTGAAGATAGTTCTAAAATCCAGGGATTCTGATTCTTAGAGTCTAATGTTTTGGGATAGTAAATGCTGAACTGGTAGATGGGCTCGAGGACACAGCTGCGATGTGCTGCTCAAGAAAAGCTGGACCTCACTGGTGATGGTATTGGGTTTCCAGCCCGGTCAGCCTGTAACATACTGAGCACACCTTTAAGTACTCACAATCTGACAGGCTGGGGGACTGAAAGAAAGAAATTAAGGCATTGCCAGACCTTTTGGAGGACACTCAGTCTCTCTCTTTCTCTCCGTCATACGGGGAAATTTGTGCTCTACCATGAATGGAGAGTAAAAAGATTAAGTTTTTAATAATTCTGTTTTTTGTTTTAATTTACAGAAAAAAATTCATTCTTCTGGGCCAGCCTTGTTCCATACAGAAAGACAGTCATGATACTGATGAAACAACTTACAATTAACTATCACCTTAAAGATGCACGCCTATGAATACCTCACAATATTATGCTGGATTCTAAAATACCACAATTATTTTTGCAAAACAAGTTTAAACCCATTTATCCTATAAAATAAACATCCTCAGATTCTGGTTTACCTTTTTAAGTGCTGTGGGTCGCTTTAGTTTTGCGATTTCCTTTTCTTTTCCTTTTTTTCCTTTAGAAGATGTAATGTCCAAAGAATTAAAGGATGTCAAACAGGGCTGACTTTTGGTTAAAGGTTTTCTGCTAGCAGAGTCTTTAGTGTGAAAAGAAGCTGCAGTAACCACTAAGAACAAACAAAGACATTAGTTTTACTATTATAGTCAATTCCATATACTTTCAGAAATTTTAATAGTAAATCTACAAAAAGAAGAACAACTCTCTGTGAAAAACACAGACATACTAGTATGAGGAAACATGATTATGGAGGGTCCCTCAGATACAGTTTTTCTCAGCTACAGCTTTTATTCATCCTTTTAGCTTCTATAGATAAGGAAGACAAAGCCAATCCAATTAACCAATGTAGAGATCCAAAGGCAAAATAAGTTAAGTAGTTCTATTCTATGACAGTAACCTTCATGGCCATTCCTTACAACTGGTCTTTCCGTCAGAATCGTTCCACCTTTGAAATTTCAAAATGCTGCACTGATTCCTACCAAATCCACTGTGCGTGCTCAGGTAAGGTACGTAGCCTATCATTCCTTTGCTCAGTAATGAATGACGGTTCCCCCCTCAGCCATATTCTGAGTACCATTCAGCAAATTCTTTTATGCCTGATGGGTACCCTCATTCTCCAGGGCCTACCCTCACCCCCAATCTTTTACCATCCGTAGGCCTCAAATCTCACTTCTCTCACTGTAGTAGCGCTTTCCTGCCACTTCCCTGAGAAGATGCTATCCAATACATTATTAGAAACCACCTGAAAGGAGGTGGCAGACACCCTTCGAGGCTCACTAACCACTGCTGCTCTTCGTTTCATCTCAGTTCCTTCAGGATCTTGCCCTATTCCTTTCCCCTTGCATCTTTTAAGTTTGTCCATAACCCCTTAAAGCAAAATAAAAACCTTTTTTCTCTATCTAAAAGAAAGGGAGAGAAGCAAACCAACAAAATACCTCCCTTGACTGGTTTCTCTTCAGGCAAAGATACTATCACTCCCCTTTTCTTCTGTGTTAAACTTTTGAATGGTATTTCTCTTGTCACTTCCCAAATCATTGCAATCTGGCCTCTGCCCTACCTACCCTCAACACCATTCCTGTCAAGATCACATATAATCTTGTAATCGCCAAATATAATTCTCAAGGGTCTTCACCCTATCTAGTTTTCTTAAGCATATGGTACCAAGAACTGTATGTTCTTCCTCAAAATTCTACCCTCATCCTTTGTGACATTATACTTTTTCTTTTTAACTCTTTCTCTTATTTTAGGGGATTCTTTTGTCCTTTACATTTGAGCATCTCACAATTCTTTATCCCAGAACATTTTTTTCTAATTTTTCTTTCCCCAAGAAAACATCTCCATTAAACTTGCTGACTTCTAAACTACACAGGAAATTCTGCCTCTTAGCGTCAGGGCTTTTTACTGGTGTCTTTCCCTTTCCTCATCCTTTAAAGAAAGACTCTGAAGAGAAATGAGGGAGCACATCAGAGCTCTAAGTTTGACAAGGCTTATTAAAACAGAAAATACTGTGTTAAAAAAAAAATCATTTTCTCATATCTCTAGTCACTCACAGTCTGACTAGAACTCCTGTTATTTGCCATTGAGTTTTATATTAGACAATTTAACAGTTAAAGAGAGCCAAATTCATTGTATTTTCTATTTTAATTTTTGAAAAAGAAGAAAATGTGGTTGGTTCAAAATGCACACCAACTGACATTTGAGCAGAAATCTGAAGAATGTGAGGGAATAAACTATACTGATATCTGGGAAAAGTGCATTTTAGGATAAGGGAACAGCAAGGTCAAAGATACCTAGCTAAGAGTTTGCCAGGTGTGTGTGAGGACAGCTAATGTGCCTAAAACAGAACATGTCAGGAGAGAATGGCAAAATGTAACAGGGCCAGCTAAGAAACAACCTCAGCCAGGGCTCTGGCTTCACTCCAATGAAACGAAGAGCAACTAGAAGGTTCTGAGCAGTGAACTAATATAACCCAGCTATCTATCTATCTATCTTAAAGAATTATTTTATTTAATTTTACTTATTTATTTATTTTAATTTAACCAAGGAGAGCCAGAGAGAGAGAAAGCCTCCAGGTCTGGGCTTTGAAGCATGGTCAGCCATGTGGGAGTCCAACAGTCTTAACAGCCACACCAATTACCGGCCCCTGCCGGCTTATATTTTAAAAAGATAATTCCTTTTAAAATAAGACTATGGGGCAGAGGGAGGGAAAGGTAGGTGACTATAATATTTATTTTTTTATATATACAAGGGGACTTCAGAAAGTATAAAGAAAATGGAATTGAAGGATAAACATTAAAAATATAAACTTTTCTTAACCTAAGCTCCATCAAGTTTGACAGGTTGTAAGTGATGACACCAGCCATTTAGTCCATCCCTAAAGAACTGAGCTCGTGAGAACTTAATCATGTCAGTGCAGTCTTCTTTACATTATTAAGTGAAGACTAATGGGAGCCCTTTAAAGATTTAAGATTAAAAACCACAATGAAGTTAGAAGGTGCCATGGCAGTGGTACACAGTGGATACCTAGTGATTTCCCCTCAAAATTCTCACAAAATTGCCCTTGTCTGATGACAAGAATGAGCAGGAGAACTGTCAAGGTGAATAAGGCTACTCTGATAGATTCCCTGGGCATTTTTCTGCTAAGGCTTCAGCTCACTTTCTCAAAACACTCTCATAATAAGCAGATGTTATCATTTTTTGGCCCTCTAGAAAGCAACAAGCAAAACGCCTTAAGTATCCCAAAATCTGATGCCCTGACCTTTGCTCTTGACCAGTATGGACCACTTCCAGTTTGTGGTACCTTTGACAGTGCTTTGTATTTAGGGCTGTACTGGTAAAGCCACGCATCACCTGCTGTTAGAATTGTTCAAAGAAATGCTTCAAGATTTTGATCCTGCTTGTTTAGAACTTCCACTGAAAGCTCTGATTTTGTCTGTAACCTGATCTGGATGCCAACAGTTTTGGCATCCATTAAGTGAAAAGTCTGCTCGACTTTCATTTTTCAGTCAGAACTGTGTAAGCTGAATCAACTGGGACGTAAGATGTTGACTACTGCTTCTATTATTAGTCACCAGTTCTCTTCATTTAGGGCACAAATGAGACTAATTTTTCCTCACAAATTGATGTGGATGGCCTGCCACTGTAGGCATTATTTTCATTGTGTCCCTTCCTAAAATGAATAATTTCTTTGAGGCATTGCCCCCATAAATTTTCAGTAAAGCCTCGATGATTTCACCATTCTTTCACCCCAGCGTCACCTTCATTTGATGTTTGTTCTTGTTTCAATTTTAGCAGAATTCGTGGTGCTAACAGTGGCATTTTTTAAATCAATGTCTTATCTTTCTCAGTGCCTCAAACTAGATAGTGGTCAAACATGTTTTAATAAGTTAGTACAAGTTTATTTGGTGCAAAAAAGAATTTTTAAATCTATGCATAGTTTTTTCATAACATGCGTTTTCCGTAAACTTTTTAAAGGTCCCTTTATATATAAAACTAAAATGATTAAGACTAACACTATGCGAACCACTGTATCAAAGCCAAATAGCAAATTGCTCAGAGTACTATACCTGTATATGACAGCGGTCTAGTGTTAGTAATCTGCCGTGCTTTCATTGCTTGCTGTTGTTTTTCCAGAGCAGCTAACATGTCCCCCAAATCTAGCTGCACAGGTGCTTTATTCTTTTTTCCAGCTGCCTTTGATAAAGCTTCCTACAAGATAAACATGAAAACATTTTGCTGTTACTGTACTTAAGTGTGGCGATTTAAGATAATTATACTTTTCACTCCTTCCATCCATCTTCCCAAATCTAACAAATAAACTATCACACTTGTTCATAAAAATTAAAATATACCTGTAGCTTTTTTTGCTCCATACTTATTTCTGAATATTCTTGAGCAGTGGCAAGGGCAGCTGCTAACGCTTTCTTCTTCTGACTTTTTGCACGTTTAGGAACTGAGGTGGTAATAGGAATTGGAGTCTGAACTATATTGATTGGTGAGTTTTCAGGTAAATCATCCAACTATAATTACCAAAGAACAACATCTGTTAGTGGTCTTAGAAAAATCAAAAGAGAATACAGATTGGAATGTTCTCTCTTTTTTTAAAGTTTCTACCTCCCTTGTTTTTATGAGACAGAGACAAGCACCCGCCACAAGGACTCAGGTCATGATCCCTGCAGCTAGGCAGGATCACAGGTGTGCATGTGTACCCAGCATGTAACAACCAACCCAGGAACAGCACCCCTACCTTCCACATGGCCCCCAACATGGCAGAATGTTGCACTCCTGCTGCAGCCCCACAGCTCAGCCTAGACTATAGTATATTCCACAGCATAACTGAACTAGACCTTTCAAAGAATTTAGTGTCATAAAAGCAGAGTGAGATGGTGGGACCACTGCAGACAGGGAAATAATCAAGGGACAAAACACAATACAATGGGAGATGACTGTCTGGATCCTTGACTGAAATTAAAGTACCTCCAAAGTAAAATACTGCAAGAGTTAAGGAAACTTCAGTACAAACTCTGTTCTGTATATGATGTTATTTAATTAGTTGTATTTTCCTGTCTAGTAATGGAACTATGGATTTATCCACTAAAGTATCCTCTGTCTGGCTATGTAGAAAAGGAAGATTAAAGGTTAAGTACTGAATACACTGTTTCCTGTATACCATGCTGCCTCTTGCGTCTTTATACTTACTTTTAATCTCTCTTTTCCACATAACTATAGTTTAAAAGATACCCTATATCTTGCCTATCTTTTAAAAAAAAAGTCACTTACTACTTTTGAAGAAAGTTTCTGTTGAATATTCTCATCCTTAGCATTTCCAGTTTCATTTAGTTCTCGAAACCTATCTTCATCCTGAAATCATTTCACATTTTAAATAAAAGAGAATTCAAGGCAATACAGTCCCTTTTTTTGGAGAGAGGTTTTTGCTATAGGGTGTGTGCTCGCCAGACAGACAGAGAGAGAGAGACAGAAAGCGAGAAATCACCCCCCAGGGGGGATGGCCACGCCGCAATCCCTTCTCCTCAGTCTCCTCTCAGGATCTTGAGTATGCACGCACACGCGCCCGACATGAGTTTTAAGCTACCGGGTCCAGGACGCGAACCGCAGTTGACTACGTGGGAGTCCAGCGACATAGCCATTACACTAAATGCTGGTCCCCAAGTCAATACACTCTTAAGAAAAACTTTTTATAATGGTTAAGGAAAAATAAAAAATATGAAAGCGATTTTTTGTATTCTATTATTGAACCATTCAAAGTCAGTCTTAAAAAGGAAATCTCATTTCTCCCAAGCTCACAATAGCCAATTTAATTATTCTAGGATGGGGTTATAGCCACATGTCATTTCTTCATATTTCGGCATCTCATATTTTATTTTTATTAATAAGTTTACCAAAGATGGGTAGGTAATTGAAAAGAAATTCAAATTGTATTTTATCACATTTCAGTTAATTTGGAAAAGATTTAAAACAGTTTAATATGGAATTTATTAATGTTCTGCCTCACATTAATATAATCATCAATATAAAGAAAAATTTAAAAATTAAAATTAAAAAAATTTTTCTACGCAAATTTTTTTAATTGCCAGAGGACACAGGCACTCACCAGAGAAAGAAAGAAAAAGGAAAAAGTATTCCCCGAATGGGGTGTGGACATATCACAATCCTTTCCCCACTTCATCCTGTCAGATTTTTGGCATAGATGCACACATGCCCAGTGTAGTTTTCAAGCCACCAGGTCAGAATTCAAACCTTGGTTGGCCATGTGGGATCCAGCTCCCTTAACTACTCAGGCCATAGGGCTGGCCCTCAAATTAATCTGTTAACCAATATCCTCCTTTATACATTAAAAATTGTATCTAATATTTTTAATTTAAACTAACATGGAACCAACCAAATGGGTAAGTGCATGTAATGAAATTGCCAGAGCTGCATATATTGAAATGGTTCTTGAGAGTATGAATGAGACAGACTTGTCAAGTCCTTTGGCCATTAGCTAACCTAAAACATTATTTTTTTACTTTGATCTAAGCAAGTTTTCCTTTTTAATCTCCACCTATTAACTCATCTTATAGTATCTATGATTCAGACAAAAATGATTTAGTCAAATGAGTTAACACAGATGTCTGCTGTAAAACATCTCGGCATGGCCATTTTCTACTTATTCTTTAAAACTCATGAAATTGATCTTCTTATCCTGCTCCAAAGATAAATGACTTGTCTCTTCTTTCAACTCCAACCACACTCAGCTAAGTATTAGGTAAATATATGTCTACATTCCTCTTCGATACAGCAATCTTTGTAAGGGTACACCTTAATCTAGCATTCAGAGCATGTTACAGGTGTAATAGAAACCAAGAGCCAGTTAGGAATAAATAACAGAAACACTGCAACTAAAATACACTGTCTTCCTAGAAGAGAAAGTAAAATCACCATTTTTCTTCCTTTTCCATGACTCTCCTGGCTGGCAACAGACTATCTAGATTGAACTATTTACATCTGAGAAACTTTACAAATGTTCTGACCAACAACAAAAATTGTTTCATACTAGATGAACTCCACATGAAATCAAGTTCTACTTCTACGTATTACCTCAAGATGATGAACGCACATGTAAAAAAGTTATAAAAATAAACTAATTAAGTTCAACTAAACACATATAACCAAGATAAAAATGAATCAATACTTCTGAGTAATTTATAATCCTACTGGTATAGTCACACATTAAGACATAAAAGGTATTTATAACGTAACAAATAGATTTCTTCATAGGAACATCTGTTATAACAGTTTGAAAACAATACCTCAAAATACAAAGATTCCGAATTTGAGTCGCTTCTATGGGATTGACTAGGGTTTAACTGCTTATTATCTTGTCTCTTTTGCAAATTCTGTCTTCTTTCTGAGGAAGTACTGTGTCCTTGGCATCTGAATCCAACCTAAGTAAACCCCAGCAAGGAAAAGGAAATATTATTTTTAAATAAATGTTTTAGTGAAGTATAACACACTTGCAAAAAAGTGCATGAAGTGTATAGCTTACTGAATTTTCACAAAAAGCATCATTTATTTTTAAAGTTCAAAATTTCTGACAAATAAAAATATTAGGAAACTTTGAAAATATGATAATTGGGTCATAGGTGGCATAGAGGTTAAGATACTGGATCCCACCTGGCCAGCTCCACAGTACAAGTCTCAGCCCAGTGGCTTGGAAAATCATGCCAGGCATGTGTACCTGCATGCCCAAAACCCCAAGTGAAGGAAATGCAGCGTGCTTTCTCACTTTCTCTCTCTGTCTCTCTGCCGAGTACATGGGCCCTTTAGAAAATTAAAACAGAAAATAAAATGTCTAGAGAAAACTATTTAATAAAAACTTGTTTCCAAGAAAACAGATAAATAAATAAAACAGATAAATAAATAATAATAAAAAATAAATCTTTCATTTAATCACATAAATTATTATTATCTTATGTCATGTACTAAATGTATATATATATATATACCTCAAAATTTATATATTGAAATCCTATCCCCAAGGTGATAGTATTAGGAGGTATCGCGCTTGGGGGTGATTACATCACGAAGGCAGAGCCATCGTGAATGTGGTTAGTGACCTTATAAAAGGCACCTCGGGGAACTCCCTTTCCCCTTCCACCATATGAGGACACAACAGACAGCCATCTATGACCAGAAAGTGGGTCCTCACCAGACACTGAATCTGCCAGTGCCCTGATCTTAAACTTCCCAGCCTACTGAACTGTAGAAAAATACATTTTTGTCATTGTTAAGCTACTCAGGCTGTGGTACTTTTCAGAGCAGTTCAGGTGGGCTGAGACATCCTATAAACAAATTTACAAATGTCCAACTGTCATCAGGGCAAGAAAAAACATGATTAAACATTCTAAATATCTTAAAACATTGGGCCAGTCAGCTGTTGTGGTAGTTAAGGTGGATGCATCACACATGGCTAACTGTGCGGTTCAAGTCCTGGACCTGGCAGCTTGAAAAACACACCAGGCATGTATGCATGCATACCCAAAATCCCAAGAGGAGAATGGGGGAGAAGGAAATACAGCATAGTCACTCCCCCTGGGGGGGTGCTTTCTCACTTTCTCTCTCTCTCTCTCTCCCCCTGTCTCTCTCTGATGACACACACACATTATAGGAAAAATTAAAAAAAAAAAAATTCTTAAGACATTTCAAGTTCCCGCTTTTATGAATCCAATAAAACCAACATTAAATGCCTCTCTCTTAACCAGAATTTTTTTTTTTCTGGAGAAGTTTTTGCTATAGGGCACATGCGCTCGCCAGACAGACAGAGACAGAGAGACAGAAAGAGAGTAATCACCCCCTCCGGGGGATGGCCACCCTGCACACCGCTTCTCCTCCTCTCGGGATCTTAGGCACACATGCACACGCGCCCTGTGTGAGTTTAAGCCACCAGATCCAAGACTCAAACTGCGGTCTACTGCATAGGAGTCCAGCGACATAGCCATTATGCCAACTGTTGGTCCCTTAACTAGAATATTTACAAAATGTGAAAAGTATGAGCTCCACTAAAAGTTAACAAAATTTGAAGCAGACCTAAAATGCAATTTGATTATTTCACTTGGGGACATAAAGCACTAGGATTAAATTAAAACTCCTAAAGGTCCCAACAGATTTACTAAGAACCAAATATGCAAATAACCTCCTGAATGAATTTTAAAAACCCTCATAATGAGCCAGCCAGTGGCATGGTGGGTGAGATGGTTGACTCTTACATGGGTAACTGCATGATTTGAGTCCTGGACCCGGCAGCTTGAAAGACATACCAGGCATGCGTGTGCACACACAAGCCTGAAATCTCAAGAAGGAATTGTGGCAAGGTCATAACTACTGGGGGATGCTTTCTCACTTTCCCTCTCTCTGTGTCCCTCCAGGAAGTGCTCATACCCTTTAGCAAATTCAAAAGGACAGAAAAAATCTTATGACATCTAAGCTCTCCTAAGAGTTTTGTTGATAAAAAGTAGGCACAATAAACAAAACAAAGCAAATATATATCAAGATTCTTAAATGAGTAACACAACACATAATTAATGCTTTAAAAACTGTGCTCGGGAGCCAGCAGGTAATATAGAAGTTAAGGTAGCTGGATCCCACATGGTCAACTCTGTGGTTTGAGTCCTAGACCTGGTGACTTGAAAACATACCAGGCGCAGGTGCATGTGTATTCAAAATCCCAAGAGGAGAATAGAGAAGAGACTACAGTGTGGACACCCCATGGGGGGTGATTTCTCACTCCACCCCCTCTTCTACTGCATGTACACATACCCCATAGCAAAACAAAAATTGTTTACTATACCAAGTATAGTAACAAAACAAAAATATTAGGAATTTACATATGAAGAATATGTACAAACTTATTTTGGAAAAATCTTTTTAACATTTCTAAAGAACATAAAAAGACCCAAAATAGGGGACCAGCAGTTGGTGTAATGGCTATGTCGCTGGACTCCCATGTAGTCGACTGCAGTTCAAGTCCCAGACCCAGTGGATTAAACTCACATGGGGCGTGTGTGCGTGCCCAAGATCCTGAGAGGAGAATGGAGGAGAAGGGACTGCGGTGTGGCCATCCCCCCGGGGGATGATTTCTCACTTTCTGTCTCTGTCTTTCTGGCAAGTGCACGTGCCCTATAGCAAAATCCACGCCCCTCCCCCCCAAAAAAAGACCCAAAATAGGAAAACAAACTTTTGAGTCTGTTTATTTCTTTAATGAGAGAGACACAGACACATAGACTCAGATACCACCAACAGGGTCTGACTACATCATGGTTCTCCCACCCAGTCACCAGAGCCTTTCCGTGAGGCTCCAGGACTGCACAATGGCACCTTCCAGCCTACTAGAAGACATACTATTTTGGCATAGAAAGATACCACATCATAAGGTAGATGATTCTAACTAACGTCTACAGGGTAGAGACCAACGGAGCAAAACAGAAAGTCCAGAAATAGATTCCCATGATGTGATAATTTAATAAATGATAAAGGTGATTATTAGTAAAGAAGAGAGAAACTTTTATGTAAATGATGCTGAGATTTGGGCTACCTGGAAAATAAGGAGAAGAACCTGTATCTCACACCAAATACCAAGAGAACTTCAAAAGGAATGAAGATTTAAATGTATAAAACTGATACTATAAACACAGAAAAATACAGGCAAATTTCTTTATAACCTTGGGGCAAGGACAAGGTTTTTCCAACTCTGATTTAAAATCCATTTTTTAAAAAAGACCAATAAAGTCAGCTTATAAGAATAAACTTCTTACTGCTATTTTCAAAATAAACTTAGGCATAGTAATAATAATGAGCAAAATCAAAACTGAAAATGAAACTAGTAAAATATTTGCAATCAATATTACATATTATAGGTAATGGCATCTACAAACTTTAAAAAGCTTATGATTTTGATAAAAATTAATTTTGTAAAAAGAAAAAAAGTGGGGCCAGCAGATGGTGTAGCAGTTACGTTGCCGGACTCCTACATGGCCAGCCAACCATGGTTCAAGTCCCAGACGCAATGGCTTGAAACTCACACTAGGTACATATGCGTGTATGCCCAGGATCCCAGGAGGAGAAAGGACTGTGGCATGGCCATTCCCCCTGGGGAGTGATTTCTCACTTCCCCCCTCACTGTGTCTATCTCTGATGAGTGCAAGCAAAAACCTCAAAAACAAACAAACACTAAGAAATAAAGATGCAAACAATGGGCAAATAATATCACCAGAGAAGTTTACAGAAAAAAGAAATACAAGTGGCTCTTTTCAAACATGGAAAAATGATCACCTGCACTAAGGCATCGTTTTCACCTAACTTGCACAAATGCAATCCTGAAAGTGAGAAAGGAAGCTGCCAGGACCAGGACTCAAACCGTGGTCGACCATGTCAGAGTCCAAAGCCTTAATCACCACATCACCTGCTGGCCCCCACATTAATGTATGCTTAAAGTACAAGGCTAACAAAGCATCAGAAGTATCAATACAAAACAAATACACTGTTAACATCTGGAACTGGTTCTTTTGGAATAAAGAGCATACAGAATAAAGTTATTCAGCATACCACATGTATTTGTGTAACTCTTTTTTGTTCTTGTTCTTGTTCTTTCACCATTTCTCACTACTTTGGGGACAGAGATGGAATGGTTTGTTGTTGCCGTTGTTTTTTAGTTTTGCTATATGGCACATATACTCACCAGAGAGAAACAGAGGGAGGGAGGGAAAGTTAGAAATTATTCCCCAGGGGGATGGCCATACCACAATCCCTTCTCTTCCATTCTCCTCTCAAAATTTTAGGCACGCATGCGCACACACACCCATCATATCTTTCAAGCTGCCGAGTCCAGGACTTGAACCACAGAGCTGGCTATGTGGGATCCAGCACTTCAACCTCCACATCACCTCACCTATTGGTCCTTTATTTCTTAATTTTTTAGATTTTTACTATTTTTATTTCTTAATTTTTTAGATTTTTACTATAGAGTAAATGCGAATGCAGGAGAGAGAGAGAAGGAAATCGAGAAATCAACCCCGCAAGGAGGATGGCCATGCTGCAAACCCTTCTCCTCCATTCTCCTCTCAGAATTTGGGGCACATGCACCCGCCATGTCTTTCAAGCTGCTGGGTCCAGGACTCAAACTACGGAGTCAGCCATGTGGGATCCAGTGCCTTAACCACCACACTACCTGCTGGCCCTGGAGATAAAACGTTTTTCATCTCAGTTTACTTCCTCTCCAGTGGGCTACTGATACCAAAAATAGTAGTACCAAGACTGTAAGTTGGCAGGACTAACAGTTGCAGTTCCAACAGGACATTTCAGACATAAGCAAAACATTCTATAATTCTTGTTTATCTAGCCCATACAAATTATTCTTTTTGTTTTGTTTTTAGTTCTATACTAGAGGGCATGTGCTGTTGTGGGGGGAGGGTATATGTGAAAAATCATCCCCCTGGGGTGATGACCACACTGCAGTCCCTTCTTTATCCCCCTCTCTGACCTCTGACCATGCATGTACAGCAAAACATCTCAGTCTGGAACTCAAACTGCATAGTCGGCCATGTAAGATCCAACTAACCACCATGAAACTGGCTGGTCCCAATTATTCTTGTTTTAGCTCTTTTGTCTTTAACTAAATAAAGCTAGATTGTCTCACAAGCCTGCAACAAACAACAATGACTCATTTTTGCAATAATCACAGGGATGAGGGCATTACTCTGTTTGTTTTCCTGACAGCCTAATTAATGTTAAGGTACATGTGAAATGCTTCATTTCAGGGAGGCAAAGAAACAAGCCAGTGGTTGGCATATTTAATCCATTAGTAACTTGCTTTTATTTCATTTCATCCACTGATCTATCATGTAATAACTTTAATTCCTTAGCTAGACATAAGAAATCCATGAAGGCTACCTAAAAAATAAAAAGAAAGAATACTGACCAAAATATAGCGTTCTCATTTCAAAGCCAATCGATGCAGGAAGACACAGTTATTGTAGTTCATGGGAGGGTATTGCCCACTTGGCTACACTGCTTCTCTAAGCCCTCAGAAAGCTGCCAGTCCAGTCATGTTATGGCACAAGGCAGCCAGCACTGTGACACTGTTGCTAGCACAGAAGATATTTATAGTCAAGTAAAGACAGACAAAGCGATAGTCCTCAAGTTCAAAGAATCAATATGTAAGAGGTCAGCAGGTGGTATGGTGGTTAAGGTGCTGCAATCTGACACAGACGATGACAGTCTGAGTCCCAGACCCAGTGGCTTGAAAATCATGCCGGGCACGAGTGTGTGCGTGTCCCTAATCCCTAATCCCCTGCTTGAAAATCATGCTGGGCACGAGTGTGTGCGTGTCCCTAATTCCTAATCCCCTAATGGCAAAGAAGGGATTGTGAAGTGGCCATTCCCCCGGGGAGTGAGAAATTACTCCCCTCCTCTGGCTGGTTGTCTGTCTGTGTCTCTCTGGTGAGCTCAGTACCCTACAGCAAAAAACAAAAATTTAAGACAAAAAGTGCTTTAAAATGTTTTAGGTAGATATGAAAAAGACAAAACAGATAAAGCAGGATTGGAAAGCATTTTTTAAATGATGAAATAGTCAAATATACAGAGAGGTGTGAGAAAAAATTGTACAATATTCATTCATACATCCACCACCTTCACTCAACATTTTACCACTTTGAATTATTTAAATAGGCTTTATTGATTAAGCTATTTTAAAATAAGTTACAAATCATGATGGTTCACTTTTAAATAACTCAATATACATCTCCAAAAATTAAAGCTACTGACCTTCATAACCATGATACCATTTTCATACTAACAAATTTAAAACACTGCATCTCACACCTAGTCAAATTTCTCTAACTCGATTCAAATTACCTGTGAATTATTTCTTTGTTCAGTTTGCCTTCCACCTCTAGAAAATGTCTGATTTTTTTCCATCCAAGGTTTTTTCTGAGTTGCCTGGCAAGTTACATTGGACCAATTTGCACTACCTGTAACAAATGAAATTTGAAAACATGATTTATTTATAAAAGATACCAAAACCTTAGCTGTCTTCTAACTTGCTGTACTGAAGCTCAGTCACCATAAGTGTAATAATGAGGGGCCAGCAGATCGCTGAACTCCTACATGGTTGACCATGGTTTGAGTCCCAGACCCAATGGCCTGAAACTCATGACAGGCATGTGTATGTGTGTGCCCAAGATTCTGGGAGAAGAATGGAGAAGGGATGGCAGCATTAACATCCGCCCTGCAGGGTGATTTCTCACTTTCCCTTTCACTGTCTCCGTGTATGTCTCTCTCCCCAGCACGCACACATGCCCTACGGCAAAAAAATGATATAATTAATAATAATAATGTAATAATGAAAACAAACTTTAAGTGGTATTCCAGTTCCTAGAAATGCAGGTGTCATCATGTAGAATACATCCAGTTGTCACAGTCTCAATTTGATGGGCAAAACTGTACTTTCAAATTAACTCGACTCTTTGGAAGAGTTTTAATTTTTTTAAGAGCATCAGCAAGCTCCACGCTTAAAAGGAAAAACTTTAAGGACAAAGAAGGAAGTATAGCAAAAATATTATACAAATATATGTACCTGTACACACAGATGATTCCACATGCTAGAAAAAGAAACAAAACACAATTACTTTCTACTTAAAGAGTCAACATTATACAACCTTACAAAACACTTCCTAATTTAGTGCAAAGCATACTTACTACAATCTTAGAATACTCCATTAACATTTTTATTAATAATAAAATATGGGAACCAGCAGTTAGTGTAATGGCTATGTCGCTGGACTCCCACGTAGTCGACTGCAGTTCGCATCCCGGATCCGGTGGCTTAAAACTAACCGCAGGGCGCTGTGCGTGCCCAAGATCCCGAGAAGAGAATGGAGGAGAAGGGATTGCGGTGTGACCATCCCCCCTGGGGGGTGATTTCTCGCTTTCTGTCTCTCTGTCTGTCTCTGTCTGTCTGGCAAGCAAACGCACCCTATAGCGAAAATCTCTCAAAAATAATAATAATAATAATAAAATATACAGGGAACCAGCAGTTAGCGTAATGGCTATGTCACTGGACTCCCACGTAGTCGACCGCGGTTCGCGTCTTAGACCTGGTGGCTTAAATCTCACGCCAGGCGCGTGTGCGTGCATGCCCAAGATCCCGAGAGGAGAATGGAGGAGAAGGGATTGTGGCGTGACCATCCCCCCGGGGGGTGATTTCTCGCTTTCTGTCTCTATGTCTCTCTCTGTCTGGCAAGCGCACGTGCCCTATAGTGAAAACCTCTCCAAAAAAAATAAATAAAATAAAATAAAATAAAATATACAAAATACATTTTAACCAATCTATTACTAGGAATTGTTAACAAAAACAGACAAGCTTAAGCAGAGGGCACAGGTTAATTCTGATGTCGATGACTGATAAAGAAATCAAGGGAACATGACGTACACTTAGGGTCCCAGAATCAGGGTTTCTCAAGGCCCCTGCTGCAGGCTGGTTGTTGCTGTGCTTGGGACTGCAGTAACCACTATCACTGTCGATGTCGGCCTCGCTAGCGCCCTGCTCACTGGAGGACTCAGCAGTGGGATGG